AATAAATTTAATTATATATATATATATATATATAGAGAGAGAGAGAGAGAAATACAAAGCTGTTTCATTCGATAATAGTGCAAAAATAATTTCTATAAAAAATTATTATCAAAAATAGCTCTTCATCTTAAATAAAAATAGAGACAAAATATTTCTGTGACATACATAAAATTTATCAAAATTATATACCAGTGCCTGAATACCAATGTTGAAAGTAATACGCTTAGATTAGTAGGTCCAAAAATTTGAAAACTAAACCTTTCGAAAATTCACTAATTTAATTAATTCCAAAAAATTGAAATGAAATTTCATAATGCTAAAAAAAAAATTCTTTTACAAAAAACCCTATCAAAATTATTGTACCGACAAAATTCCAAGAAATAACGAATATTGACGAAGCCACGATTAGAAAAATGATTTCAAAATGATTTTTCACTGTTGGCGCATATCATGGTTGTTTACGCGACGACTGAATCGAGAAACGATTTACCATCGTTTCGACTCTTCAATTCACCGGTTTTATTCCTTTTCTTCGACACACGTCGAACGTGGGGCGAGCACGACAAGTACGCTTCGTTATTCCGGACAATTGCAATCAAATACGGGTGGGAACATTTTTCCGAGTTTTCAGCCTCGTGTTCGACCCGCGTTGAATTTCGACCCCAATTATCTCGCCGCCTGATGGAGCGGTGAATGAAAGAGACGTAAAACGCGTCCGCCACGCCCTCTATGATTCTACGATTCAAACACACTCGCGGTAAAAGCGCCACGAAATTTATATTAATTCGATCGTCTCGCTGCGGCAGCGCTGCTGTGCCGCGCCTTGTGCACGGCAACCGGCACATCCCTCGACATCGCTTCCAACGTGTTTTTAACATTCGATTACTCGAGATCGATCGTTTCTCGACCCTTCATTCTCGGGATTACATTTGATTCGTGGAAAGGAATGCGAAATATAGATAAACGTGATCGATAATCTCATCAAAATTTTACCCTCGATTTCAATGTGTCAAATTATGAAAAATAAGTCTCGAGAGTTTTATTAACCTAAAACATGACAATACATATTATTCTTATAACACTATATACCCTGTATGGAAAAATATTCGCAAGAATGGTTTTACTCCGAAATGGTGATTTTAAAAATGTCATTAGAGCATGAATGCATCCGAATGTAAAATTCTTGAGAGCTGCTCTCAAGAGAATGTAAAAAAAGTGTACCACCATTGGACAGTCGTTCTTAACTCGATAACTCAATCTAATCTAACCTAAAATATGTTCAACGATAAAATCCTTTTATTTCTTATCGAGAAATATAATAACATTGTTCAAATTAGATGCGAAAATAATTATCAATTGTTTGATAACAATATATAATATATATACCTTCGGATAAATTCTCTCTAAATCTCAAATGTAGAAACCTTAGATTAGACGTTAAATCGTCCAACTATCAAATTTCACTGGACGAGAATATCATCGGACATTTATTTGTCTTTTAACTTTCATCCATAGACTTTACTCCACTTCCTTATTTCCACTTGTAGAAAAAGAAAGGATTAGATATACTCACGTTAATGACGACCCTTTCGCAAAAATCATGATCGTGCGGTATGGGCTCGAACTGCGTGACGCCTGTGTATTGGGTATGTGGGTTCGGCCCATCCTCGTCCTGGCTGCTGAGTTTCGGCAGCGATCTGGAAAAGAAACGGTTCTCGGTTTGTTAAACTCTTCCTGGATCGGGTATGTGGTGATAATAATACACACACACAGATATATATATATATATATACATACAAGATGTACAAAAACGAAAACTAGGTTGCGCTACCTCTGGACCAACAGCCCCTATACCGAGCTATTCTCTTAATGAGCTACTAGACTGGTAAGCCACTAGGTCGACAGCCTAATAGGCTGCGATAGCTTGATAGATCGGCCAAGTGACAGATCGATCAAGAATTAACGCCGAGCCAAGCTACTCGATCGCTAGTATGAATCAACACATATGCATACATACATACATACATACATACATACATACATACATACATACATAGATAGATAGATAGACAGGGAGGCCGCTAACTTCGGGCGGATTGTTCGTTAATTAGCGATACGCTATAGTGGAAAATCGCTACTGCTACGTGATTCGAGATCGCCGAGAGAAATTGATCGATGCAGAGAGAGAGAGAGAGAGAGATAAAGAGGATGCACGTGTGATTGGAACTCGACTGGTCGCATTCGGGGATTAAGAGGCACGTTTGGGATGAGACACGCGGGGGGAAAAAAAGAAAAGAATTGTCGAAATTAAGGAAACTAATGTTGAAACTGTTATTACGTGAGATAAAATATCTGGATATTTTAAAATGTGAATAATTATAAACGAAGGGACGTTGGAGTGATAGATGTCTTATAGTGAAACGATCAGATATCAATCCTCCCTTCTCGCAATTGTGTAACGCATTTCTAAGATAAAGTACACGTGTAAATAATATTCTATTTTTAAATAGAAAGAGATGGATTAGAATGCTCGTCGTAGCAAGAGTGTTTTACGCGGGATGTTAATTATATTTACGAGACACTTTTAAAAGATCAATTCTTGATAGCCAAAACTAACATCTATCGAGACTTATTTTATTTTACGTCACGTTAGATGAAGCGAGACTCTATCTCTATCTCTGTCCTACACTCTACTACTCTTCATCTCGCTTCGTCTGACGCGAACTTACAAATCCAATTGCTCGTGCGATAATAATACAAGTTTCGATCGATTTATTTTTTTTTTTTTTTTTTTTTCTTTTACTTTCTGCAACTTTTCTCATTTTGGCCTCTAGAATCGAGCAGTCGACTCAACAAATTTCAAGAGTATCAAAGTAATAACCGTGAAATCCGTGGTATTGACGATAGTGTTAACGTGATACGTACGCCATCTTCCTTGAGACAGTGAAGGCTCGCGTGACTCACGCGTTTGAAGAAAGGCGCGGATCCATTTTGATCGAAAGTTCGAGGCCCGTATGACACCAGGCAACGAGCCAGCCAGCTTAAGCGAATCTTAATTAATATCCGGCCGTGAGCAATTGAAATAACAAAGTTTGTCAGGCTCGTGGCCAATAACAAGCGTGTCTCGGGCATCGTTGTTTTTCATTCGTCCACACGCTTCACCCCGAATTCCTCGAATAGTTTCGAGGGAAAGTTTCCACGTCGCTGTACAGCGAGAAAGTTAAGGGCCAAGTTTCCCTCGCTTAAACGTTCTCGAGTTGCATTTTCTTGCGAGATCAAAAGGAGGTCTCGATCCTTCAAGGATCGAAATTTCGAAATCTCGCTTCCTTGGAAACGATATTTTGTTTCGGATACAACTCTTTTTGAAGTTAAATTTGAACGATTATTTTGAAATTATTTTTATTAGGTTTTAAAAAATTAATATATTGTTTTGGATGAACAAAACGCGAATGGAATAGATTAAAGAAAAGTGTACCGGATTTGTCGAACAATGTAATATCGAATAATTTTTGAAGAAAAAATTTAACGTGTTGAATATAATATTGCGGAAAGCAACTTTTATTCGTGATAAGAAATCATAAAAAACAAAAAAAAAATGTCAATATCCTCTTGTAATACTTAACACTTTTAACACTTTGTTACATTTTTGTTAATTTTTATTCACTTTAATATGCAAATTCACTCCTTCGAGAATAAAGATACACATTTGAGGATTATATCCTTAAATATAGATATTATTCAGCTTTTCAATGGATACTTGACATAAATAATATTGAACTGAATTAATTAACCAACTACAGTTTAACAATTTTTATCGTCCAATAATAATATGTGCACCCCGATTTATATATTCATTATTATTTTCGATGTGTATTTCGATTAATCATTTTTACATAATAGAAATTGGATCGGTATTTCGATAGCTCTTATTCGACCGGATGAAATATAAAAATGAACAATTATTTACACGTTCAATAATAAACCAACCATTGTTTCGAATAACGCGTAATGAATCGGCCAAATCACGTTTCTAGAAACAAATAAATCGTTTTATTCGATTCTTATCCATATTGCTAAGATTAAAAGTAAAAGAAACAAAGTGTTGAAAAAAAGAATCAGCGGAGTTTTCGCCTTTTGGATTTCTTGCCCGAGGTAAGAACGGGAGAATCGTCGAGAGGACGCTGCGGGGATGTGTTCCGCGAGCAAAGTACCAAGAAGGGAGGAGAGAGAGGAGGAAGAGTGAGAAAAAAAAAAAAGGAAAAGTGTGAGCAAGATCAAAGAGCATCTCCATGCTCCACTTCGCGGTGTCGCGATGGTCCTGGGTCGATTTCTCTCGCTGTTGGACACCATCTTCGCGTTAGAAAATTTACACAGCGGTAAGAAGATGGAAGAGGATTAAGGATTTCAACGCGTACGATGTTTCGTGTTGTTTTACAACGAATAAGTTAACTTTTCTTCGGAAAAATATAATATACGTGTAGATACGTACGTAGATATAATTATCATTGATGAATATTAACAATCGCGTCGGTTGCATCGGTTAATTGCATATTATTATGGTACGTTAAACGTGGAAACGTTGTTTAATATGTATCCGAATTTGAAATGCATATGGGCGACTTATCTATTTGGATATAACAATATAAAATTATATTGTTGCGAAACAAGACAGTTTGTTAATTTTTTTTTTTATATATATTTCTTAATAATTGATTAATTATAAGATAAACTAATCAAGTTGTTCGAAATATACATCGATTTAGGAGATACTTCAATTTAATCATTTAATATTACTTTTTCTTTATTGCGATTTTATTATCTTTTTATCGTCATTTACATTATTCATGCAATGTCCAATTCACTAATCGATAAAAGGATCGATACGATACCTTAATCACTGGTCCAAGTAATATTATAATATTCAAACCCTCTCTTCCTTAACTGTCATTATTTCACATTCGTCGATATCGAGATAGAAATTCGTCTCTGCTCGAGTTTCGAATAAAAATCGATCGACACGTTAATTTCTTCAAATCACTTTGTTCCTCGAACAAACGATTATTCTCCACGATCTTGATCGTGTACGAAGACAAGGGAACGAATAAAGGATGAAATTTCAGATCTCGAGCTTGTAACGAATAAATACTTCATTTTCTTGGCAGAGAGAGAGAGAGAGAGAGTTGGAATAGTCGGTGTTAAACGGCCTTGTTTAATCGCCGTCGTCGAATCGAGGTGGAGAGGGAGCCACTGTCTGAAGTGTTTTCGAAGGAGGTGGCGCTCTTATCGCTCGCCACAGTCGAGCATTGTGCCAAGAGAGACAAATGTTTCTCGCTCCCCCGTTTGAGGTCGGGACCGATTCCGGGGCGAGATAAAGGGCAGATTAGCCCCGGAAACGCAACGATTCAACGGGGTAGTGAATCATCCAACGGACGTCGCGCCGCCACGAACAAAAGCGGGATCCCCGGCCAGACGAATTTTCCGGGATGAAAGCGCTTTGTTAGTTAGGGACTCCTCGATGCCGGATGCTGTTCTCGAACCACCTTTCACGCCTGTCGCAAATTCTCTCTCAAAGCCAAGTGATCGATGTCGTTCCCCTTGTCGCCTCTTTCTCTTTCAGAGGAGGATATTGCTTCGGGAAGATTCGCAATCTCTATTTCGCTTGAATATTAAATACAGGCTCTCCTTTCTCGGGCAGGAATTCGAATTGGGATCGAGATCGATAATGAAGCTCGATAAAAGTAAAATTATCGCGATCAAAATTTTTAAATCATCCAACGGACGTCGCGCCGCCACGAACAAAAGCGGGATCCCCGGCCAGACGAATTTTCCGGGATGAAAGCGCTTTGTTAGTTAGGGACTCCTCGATGCCGGATGCTGTTCTCGAACCACCTTTCACGCCTGTCGCAAATTCTCTCTCAAAGCCAAGTGATCGATGTCGTTCCCCTTGTCGCCTCTTTCTCTTTCAGAGGAGGATATTGCTTCGGGAAGATTCGCAATCTCTATTTCGCTTGAATATTAAATACAGGCTCTCCTTTCTCGGGCAGGAATTCGAATTGGGATCGAGATCGATAATGAAGCTCGATAAAAGTAAAATTATCGCGATCAAAATTTTTAAACGCGAATTTAATTACGGTCATTGATTATCTTTTATCTGGACATCGAGAATTACAAAGATGATAGAAGGGATTTTTGAGTTTCAAAGGATTTCGAAGGAATCTCATCCGATTTTTATTAAATATAATTATTTATTATTTAATTCTTTTTAAACGATACTTTTGTTAAAATAAAACGTATTGCATTCCTGTGATTTTGTTCTTTCCTTTTTCAACGTGTTATTCATCCGATTATTATTCAAGTGATAAGAATTCTTTTGTCCATTAGATTACTAATGCAAAGAAAGCTATAAGATTATATGAATTATCAATTGTTCTGAATAATACATATAATGCGACACACCATCATAATTAGTTATCCATCATTGTCTCAAGCGCGACTGATACTCATTTTCTTGTTCAAATAAAACGAATTCGCAAAAATCATAGATGTTGAAACCTATCGTAGAGGATATAAAATATTTTATACAGGATCTTTAAAAGATCGACTCTATGAGCCAAGATAAACACAACAATCGTTATACAAAAATATTGGTCGAGGTTTACGTTTATGCATATTAAGACGCGATATAATTTAAGTTTGC